CCCGATCCATCATCTATGCTACAATCAATAAACTCATTACGCTTTGCCTCACAAGTGAACTCATGTGAGAATGGAATCCAACGTCCTCAGACCACCACCACCAAGAAGACCACCACCAAGCGGATGCGTGTTTGAGTTGTGGGTGAAACCAGAGCGGAATGGAGTTAGAGATGGTTTTCAAATATGAAACTTATTATGAATTCAAATTTGTACGATATATATTGTAGTATGCGCAAAAAAATTCATTAAACATAATTAGTCTGGCTAAGCATCTTGGAACTAGGATTTGTGATCATGTTCCTGAAACACCAAACAAGTCGTCGCAGCAGGGGTGGAGGTCGTCGATGGCGTCTTGTGCTGGTGGCGGACTTGCCGGAATCGACTAGCCGGCGTCGGATGTGGCGGGAGCGAAGAAGATGATGGTTGCAATGTGAAAGACGTCGTCTGTGGGTTTGCGTTTAAGACTCCCGTTCCATTTGTTTTCCTTTCTTTTTCTAATGGGATAATGACTTAAAAAGGTGAGTTTTTCACCAAAATAAAGTTATTTGAGAAAGTATTAGGGGCAGTTTGGCAGGATCTGAATTTTTAAGATCTAAATTTTTAAGAGGTCTTGAATTTTTAAGATCTGAATTTTAGCATGCTATTTGGTTGGAACCTCTGAATCGTTGTGCTTAATAATAAAAATGACCATTTTAACCTTCTTTGTCATTTCTTTCAATTATAAAATTGTACTTCAAACCTTTCCTTATTAAGACATCGTATTTTAAAAGCTATAACCAATTATATCATTATAATTGAGTAGAAATAGAAAGTACCATGCTATAAAAATAAAAATGACTATTTTACCTTTTAACTATTTTTTTCAACACCATCAATTTCACCAAACTATCGACACCCTCCCTTTGTAGACCTGGTATTGTTCATGTCCATTATCATCCTCCCTTTGTAGACCTCGGTTATTATCAAACACCTATATCAACCAAACAAAGGATACATCATATGATGTCTAATTATCAAACAGCAACTAAAAATGATAATGCATAACATTGGCTATTGAACCGAGGTCAATTTGATTATGGTACTTCTAACATCATCACTTTCTTGGGTGAAAGATCGTCAGTTGTCAATTTGATTATGGTTCAGCTTCAAAAAGTTGTCAGAACATTGATAACCATCTATCAGTTATGCATATTTCATAAACTAAAAACATTAGTTACCAACAGGGTTAACTATTAATGGTAATCCAATGACCCAACAAAGCTTTTACCCGATGAAATTTTCGTTCAATCAAAATATAGATACAAATTGCTTTTGAATAATCAAAACATGATTCAAATTGCTTTTGAATAATTATCAAGTTTATAGAAACACATCGCAACTGAGATACATGATGAAATTTTCGTTCAATCAAAATATAGATACATAAAGATAC